CCCCCCCTTTTTTCCCCCTCCCAGTTTCCATGTTGCCGTGCTCTTTGTGATACCGGTCACTAATGGTTGAGTACCTTGTAATTCCATACTTTAGCTGTATTTTTGGGCATCTCTGTATTTAATGGTTTGTTAGTTGCCATTTACAACTTTTGTCGAAAATAGGATTATTATTATTTTTATTTTAAATTTTTTTTTTGTTTTTGTTTTGGTTGTTGTTGTTGTTTTTGGAGTTAATACGATTTGGGTATCCTTTTTCTATTTAAAAAAAAACAAAAAAACACAAACAAAAACACCACGGAGGTGGAAGCGCGAAAACCGTTACCGGCTTTAAATAGATAAGGGATATGTCATCCGTTTAATGCTTTTTTGTGAAGTGAGTTAAACGAGGCTTTTTCTGTATTTTAATGCTTTAGTGTTTCAGTTTTATAAGTGAAGATTTTATTTTAAAAAAAAGAAAAAAAAACAAACAAAAAAAAACCAACAAAAAGTGGGAAAGAGTGGGTTTTTGTATGCCCGGCTCCTCGGGCAGCACACCTGGAGAACGCTGAATGTAGATGAATAAACACAAAAATTCTTGATGTTTTTGGTCTTCCCCGAGGCCTGGTTTCCCAGCACCACCCTCCTGCCTCTAAAATTAACCCCAAATTGGGATTATTCCCCGCTTTCTGCAGTTGTCATGCCCCCAAAACTCTTCAGTTTTGAGACTAAAGGGGCCCAGGAGGGAGGAGATGAGGGACACTCAGGAGCTCCAGCCTTGGGTAAGCCCTAATTAGGGGTTAATTAAAGCTCTGCCGTGGGTCTCGGGGTGTCAGTGGAGGAGGAAGGAGCCTGGAATGGGATTTTTCAGGTGCCAGTTCCTGGTGGAGATAATTTCCGGGGCTCTTCAGTGAGTCCCTGACCCAGTGCTCCCCACACCCACCATAAACCCCAACCTTTACACTCTCCAACCCATCATAAACCCCACCCTTGACACTTCCCAACCCATCATAAACCCCAACATTCCCCAAACCCGCCCTAAATCCCAATGTTTCCAACCCCAACGTTCCCCAAACCCCCCTAGATCCCAATATTCCATCATAAACCCCAACATTCCCCAAACCCACCCTAGATCCCAACATTCCCAACCCCAACGTTTCCCAAACCCCCTTAGATCCCAGTATTCCCCAAACCCACCCTAAACTCCAACGTACTCCAACGTTCCCTAAACCCACCTTAAACCCCAACTCCAACATTCCCCAAACCCACCGTAAACTAGATCCTAGAATGCCCCAAACCCACCCTGAACCCCAACCTTCCCCAAACCCACCAGAAACTAGATCCTAGAATTCCCCAGAATGCCCTGCAACCCCAACGTTCTCCAAACCCACCCTAGATCCCAACATTCCCCAAACCCACCATAAAGCCCAACCCTGACACTCCCTGAACCCCAACTGCAATGTTCCCCAAACCCATCCTAGATCCCAACGTTCCTCAAACCCAGCCTAGATCCCAACATTTCTCAAACCTACCCTCAACCCCAACGTGCCCCAAACCCACCCTAGATCCCAATGTTCCTCCAACCCACCCTAGATCCCAACGTTCCTCAAACCCAGCCTAGATCCCAACATTTCTCAAACCTACCCTCAACCCCAACGTGCCCCAAACCCACCCTAGATCCCAGCGTTCATCAAACCCACCCTGAACCCCAACATTCCTCAAACCCACCCTAGATCCCAATGTTCCTCCAACCCACCCTAGATCCCAATGTTCCTCCAACCCACCCTAGATCCCAATGTTCCTCCAACCCACCCTAGATCCCAATGTTCCTCCAACCCACCCTAGATCCCAATGTTCCTCCAACCCACCCTAGATCCCAATGTTCCTCCAACCCACCCTAGATCCCAATGTTCCTCCAACCCACCCTAGATCCCAATGTTCCTCCAACCCACCCTAGATCCCAATGTTCCTCCAACCCACCCTAGATCCCAATGTTCCTCCAACCCACCCTAGATCCCAATGTTCCTCCAACCCACCCTAGATCCCAATGTTCCTCCAACCCACCCTAGATCCCAATGTTCCTCCAACCCACCCTAGATCCCAATGTTCCTCCAACCCACCCTAGATCCCAATGTTCCTCCAACCCACCCTAGATCCCAATGTTCCTCCAACCCACCCTAGATCCCAATGTTCCTCCAACCCACCCTAGATCCCAATGTTCCTCCAACCCACCCTAGATCCCAATGTTCCTCCAACCCACCCTAGATCCCAA